TTATCAAGCCAAGTTTTTGCTTCAACTGTATTTTTTCCCTTCAAAAAGCAATATTTTATCAACACGCGAAATTCCTTTTTATCCATTTTTTTCACAATAACAAAAGTTGCTTCACTAAAAATGCTATAATTCACAAACTAATGATCCGACAGCCGTCAAATTTATAGACGCGTTTTTTGAAGGTTAGGACTAACTGAAAATCATATGGATTTAGTTCGGGTGCCGCCATCTATGTGTCAGGCCGGGGACTTTTCAATTGACCCTAGTATATCATTGCATAACTATCATAAATTTGTATTCAATATTTTCTCTAATTATTACAGACTCTAGCTCGACATCGCCCTAGACCTCGCTCCCAGCAGACCCAATGGTCGCGAAGTTACGAGCCCAGCGTTGCTAAAGAACCAGTATCTGCAGAAGACGAAGTCTTCTTCGAACAGCCCGTCTCATCCGTTGCACCACTTCCGATTCCGGAAGGCGGCGTTGACGTTGAAGACTCTGGTCGTGCACATCCGGAACGGGTGATCCATACGGATGGCGAGGGTGCCACGTTGGAAGCGTTGGAAGCTCCCCTCAGGTATTCGGCAGCACCCGGCTGGCGAAGGTCACACTACAAAGCTCCCAGAGAAAGGTCGGAACAAAGAAGGGAGGTCGGCAAGTCTCGAATATTTTCATCTTTACTCGACAATATGTTGGATAATTCGGACAGGCGACAGTATGGGATGGGTTTGATCGGAAGAATATTTGGGTAAGTTTTGTTTTTTTAAGAACATATTTAAATAACTAGAGATAAAGAAGAATCAAAAGAACACCCTGTGACACAGTACTCATACACTTTTTAAAGATTCACAGTAGGCGTAATTTACTTTTATCTAATGATAAATAATATTCGCTTTCTTCGATCTAATTTTAAATTGACAAAAATAGAATTGAGTTATAGTTCCAATGTCATTTTTTGTGCTGAAGATAAAACATAGACAGTTTACAAAGTGATCTGTATATTTTTACTTCACTTTCTTTAAATAAAATTCATATTTAAATAGCATCTACAATTGTGGAAAAAGCTTTTTTGCAAAGTCATTACAAATTGAATAAACTTAATTTTAATCTTGATCATAAAAAGTTGATTATAATAATACGATGTGCTGGCTCAGACTTTATAAAAAAACATTTATAAAGTTTGATACTTTAAAGTATCTAAAACTGGAACCGTAAGACGCTTAACGCGTAGGATTTTCCATTTACGGTAAGAAATTCTGTCCAAAAGTCTAAAACATGCATTAATTATGAATTAAATTAACATTGCATGCTTTATGCTTCACGCTTCTTTTCGATGTAAAGTATGTGCTATGCAGAATGGACTAAACATTCGTATCACAAATGTGACCACTTTCCAAAAAGATACAAAGCGACAGCATGATCGATACCTTTTTCTTTTCTGTATAAACCGCAGAAAGAGACAACTACTATCCGCACATTCGCTTTATTTCTCTCTCATTTTGAGATCAATATGTACTTCAGTCTATTCTCATTTATGCCTATGATAATGAGCAGGTATCGATAAAAAATACTCGTATCGGTTAATTCTTCTAAGAGGGAATATAAAGATAGGAGACGAAATATTAAAAGAAGTGGCTAGTTTTCGGTATCTAGGAAGTCAGATAACTCAGGATGGAAGGAGCAGTAGAGATATAAAACAGAGAAATCCGAAAGGTGTATGTCTGGAGCGCAGCGAGGTACGAATGCGATACATGGACGATGAGCGCGCCGGATGAGAAAAGGTTAAAAGTGTTCGAAATATGGTGTTACAGGGCTAATGATGAAGGTACCGTGGACAGAGAAGGATAGAAATGAAGAGGTATTAGAAAGTATAGAAAAATAGAGGACTCTATGTAAGTCAATAATAGGAGAGACAGGTTGATAGGACACCTTCTCAGTCATGAAGGATTAATCAGGGGCACATTAGAAACAGAAACAGAGTTAAAAGGAGTAATGATAGACCTAGGTTAGATTACTGTTCACAAATAATTAAGATATGTGGGATGTTCTAGTTTTAGGGAAATGCGAAAGTTAGCTCAGGATAGGAAAGAGTAGAGACGCGTGTCCGACCAGTCTTAGGACTGACGATCGTAAGATGATGATAATGAATTCTTCCCTACACATCAAGAAGTTCGATACAGAATAAGTATGCATAGATAGATTCATTTGTTACGACTGCCAATCGTTAATTAATTCCCTACTCGTACCGATTTAGTTTTCATTTTACTCGACCCTTCAGACGTTACGATCTACTTTTTTGACACCTTCAATGAATTTCTAGATCTTTCTCTTTGAAATAACACATTGCTGAAACTCCTTACATTCGTAAGTAACTGTGCAATTAGCGTGTTCGTAGTTTAGTTCGGGCGGTAATAGTGTCAAATAAATCGTAGTGTAGTTGGAAGAAAGACACCTACACACATAATAAGATGACGCAGAAACGACACAACCGGCGCCCCTCGCCTCGTCGCCGTCGAGTAAATTTGTTTCATTTTCTTTTAATGAACCTCCTCGTTCTCGCGCTTCCAAACTGACGCTTTCTAATTCAGTTCTACAAGCGAATGTGATTCCCGAGAGAAATANATTATTATTTGTTCCGGTCACTCCAAAATTTTTTAGACGGTAAAACCTTCACCTCAAATGAGGAGGTCAAAAGCCTCCTCGATCAGTTTTTTGCCAGCAAAGACCAAAAAAAAAACGAAATGACTTTCCGAACAACCCTATAACTCAGGATGGAAGGAGCAGTAGAGATGTAATACAGAGAAATCCGGAAGGTGTATGTCTAGAGCGCAGCGAGGTACGAATGCGAATCATGGACGGTGAGAGCGCCAGGAAAGAAAAGGTTAAAAGTTTTCGAAATGTGGTGTTACAGGGCTAATGATGAGTGTTCAGAGACCGTTCTTCGTTTTGCAGGCCATAAAATTCCTGCATACAATTTTTAGAATGTTTGCAAATTTACATGGTGTTTATTTGGTAGTAGACCTTAGATGCATCGGTACAATGTCTAAATTAGTTTATAGAGGTAACGGTTGAAGAAGGATCCTTTACGATCCCAATTTAGTTTCAATTTTATTATGGGGTGTTTTTTTATGAGCCTAACGGTTAAAAGTACCGTTTGTTGATTTCTTGATGTGCCGATCTTTTCTCAGATTTAAACTTCCCTCTTTCCAAAATTTTTAGTTGAAAGCCCGCCTTCTAAATTTACACCGAATTATTTTGAAAGGGTTAATCACCAATGGTAGTACTAGCCACACCCTTGGTGTTTTCCTCCTAGTTTTAAGTTAGATATAAGATGTGACCAAGGACTTAAAAAGAAGCACTTGAACTAAGTCAGCACAAAAACGCAAGACAAGCACTTGTACAATCATAATGAATCTTTAGTTGGAGATACTCTGTAAATATTTGTAAATATATAATTAAGTCGACTTCGCTGCAAGAGTTATATTTTATTTTACCTTCCACCAAAGAATTAAACAACACGCCTTATTAATTTAACGCGTGTGCTGATATTCCACTTACAATAGTAAGTTATCGAATATCTGCCTGTGAAATTTAACAATGAGGATACCGTGGACAGAGATTGATAGAAATGAAGAGGTATTAGAAAGGATAGGAGAACAGAGGACTCTATGTAAGTCAATAATAGCCAAGACAGATTGATAGGACACTTTCTCAGTCATGAAGGAGTAATCAGGGCCACATTAGAAGCAGAAACAGAGTTAAAAGGAGTAAAGATAGACCTAGGTTAGATTTCACTCGACCCTTCAGACGTTACAATCTACATTTTTGACACGTTCAATGAATTTCTGGATCCTTCACGTTGAAATAACACATTGTTGGAGCCCCTTACATTCGTAAGTAACTGTGCAATTAGCGTGTTCGTAGTTTAGTTCGGGCGGTAATAGTGTCAAATAAATCGTAGTGTAGTTGGAAGAAAGACACCTACACACATAATAAGATGACGCGGAAAGTAAACGGCATCGCTACGACGACACAACTGGCGCCCCTCGCCTCGTCGCCGTCGAGTAAATTTGTTTCATTTTCTTTTAATGAACCTCCTCGTTCTCGCGCTTCCAAACTGACGCTTTCTAATTCAGTTCTACAAGCGAATGTGATTCCCGAGAGAAATAAGTCTAATGTTAGCGCTTAGATTTCCCCTTTATTCGCGCTAATAGCGGAGCGCTGGTCGGATAAAAGGCGTTGCGTTTTTCTTGGTAATTTTTGTAATCCTCCAGGTGTGAACGTGTTTACCATTAATACATTTTCTAAATGGAGCGCGTTCGCTTTGAATCGGTTTCTTTTCGAATGGGAAAGGGATAATTCCTTAGTATGAAAAGACTTACTAATAAAACGCTGTTTTTAATAAAAACCAAAGAAACTGAATGAGATCAAGTACAGTGGAGACGCCAAGGGGTGACAGTAGATGAAGAGAAAGCAGAAAGGAATTAATTACAAAAACATGTCCAGAAAATGATGGAAGTTGGCACGTTCAAAATTGGCATAGTCCACAATAAAACTATTGCATATAATTCTGTTCGGAAAGTCATTTCGTTTTTTCCCGACAGAGGATTTAATTGTATTCTTTTGCACCCAACTTCACATTTAAGCCGTATAATTTTTATATGCTTTGAGAGCTCATATAGCAAGGCTTGTGTGTGAAAAATTCCAATTAATTCTACGCAGTAGTTTTTGGTTGGTGCCCTTTTAAATATGGAGAGCGATAAGCAGCATTTTCGACATATCTTACTGTTTTACTACAGAAAGGGTAAAAATGCTGTTCAAGCCAGAAAGAAATTGACTGATGTGTATGGAGAAGGTGTGTTGACAGTACGCCAGTGCCAGAACTGATTCGCTAAATTTCGATCCAGCAATTTTGATGTCGAAGATGCACCACGTTCGGGAAGGCCGGTTGAAGCTGATAAAGACGCGATAAAGGCATTAGTTGATGTGGAGCGCGTTCGCTTTGAATCGGTTTCTTTTCGAATGGGAAAGGGATAATTCCTTAGTATGAAAAGACTTACTAATAGAACGCTGTGTTTAATAAAAACCAAAGAAACTGGATGAGATCAAGTACAGTGGAGACGCCAAGGGGTGACAGTAGATGAAGGGAAAGCAGAAAGGAATTAATTCCAAAAACATGTCCAGAAAATGATGGAAGTTGGTACGTTCAAAATTGGCATAGTCCGCAATAAAACTGTCGCATTTACTTTCTTCTTTCAACTTACTAACTAGACTAGAGCGGTTGCTGACAGAACGCCTACTTTTACTCACTACAGACGTAAGGAATATCGTAAACATAGAAAAGAGACGCCAGGTAGGAATTGCAGCGGACACTAATAAAGAAAAATAAATAACATTACATCAATTAATGTGTAACAGGAAATGATGGAGACAAGCAGTATTTGAACATGTTATCAGCATCGAATTTCAAAAAACCATTCTCAGAAATTTAGGAAAGTCAAGACGCATGTCTAAAGATATTATTCCAACTAGGCAGTTATAGAGCCGACCCTGATAGTTTGCGAACCTAAGCAACCTCTAACCGCTACAACATTTACTATTACTCGGTTATCTCTTCACATTGTTTGTACTGTACTACTCATTTCCTAACTTAACAAGGGCTTGTTGAAAACGCAGTAAATGACGACAGTCCCAGATGGAAACAAGAAAGAAGATAATTTATTGTGGACTTTGCCAATTTTATTCGTCCCAACTATAGATTAACATTGCGAGAAGAGCTGCATACAGCTATGTTGATAGATTTTTCAAAGAACTAGACTAACGTTACAGAGCAATGGGTGCCACCTTTATAACGTCTGGTTTTGTAAAGCCTAAAACCCTTCTTACGCCATAGAAGGAAATCTTCGTGGTATTGTGTCAAATCTGATAAAAATCGATGATGAGTTTTCTGGAGAGTACACTATTTTGGTGATTTTACGATTGTGGCGTCATTTGGAACCGACAGCATTTCTTTCCAAGTGGTGGTCTATAGTAGTACACTGCCTTGAATCTTTTGATTTGTAAGATTCATTGTGAAATGGATCTGTTCTGAGATTTTTTTTTAAATTGTACGAAAGATCTGCTGTGGGCCCAACGACTAACCAATCTTTCCATTTTGATCATTGAAAAGGAAGGAGAAGTGAACTTTGATAATGTAATTGAATATGTTAATAAAATAAAGTTGTGTAAGCACATTTAGTATTTGTTGTTTAATTTAAGAGGGTGTTCGACAATAATAAAATCCAATATATCTTCTATTTATAGTTTTAAATTAAAAAAGATATATTTTTATTTTTGTATATTTCTGTATATAAAAGTGGGTTTTTTTATAAAAGCAAATATCAGAATCAAAAAAGGACCTTGGCTTCCATTCGTGGGAAAAAAATACTTTTACTTACGTTATATACCAAAAATTAGAAATTTTTCATAATATTCTCATGATCAGGTACTTTTACTCTAGTTATTGTCTGTAAACATTGGTGAATATCTTTAAAAAAAACGATTCTGAAGGCAAACCTGTACGAACAGTATTATTAGAAATTAATTTTGCTGAGTTTGAAACTACCTACCATAGAAAAGCTTTACAACTATGAGCGAAACGTGGCTGTTGGTTTTTCAACAATAAAATTATTTACAATTCTCTCCTGGCTCTAATTTAACTCATCACAATAAGGGGAACAAATACTTTTCTTCAAGGAAATAGTAAAACACCTTACAAACTTTTATTAGATATTCGGTTTTATTATAGCGTTAATATGTTAGCAAAAATAAAATTTTAGCAAAACAACAGTCAATATATTCATAGACGTTGAATGTTTTCTTTGAATAGTTAATTCTCATTTCCCTTGCAGTCGTTCAATAAGAAAATCGATAACAGAAGATGAAGAAATACAGGAACAACTGGACGATCTAGAAGACCATCGGCCTTATTTTACTTATTGGGTAACATCAGTGCAAATTCTTGTGCTCATTATTTCGTTAATTTGTTATGGATTTGGTCCGTTTGGTATTGATTTACATGCAAGATCTGGACAGGTTCTCGTTCCCAGCTTGTCTTTACAACAGGTCGACTATCTAGAACCTGCTAATTTTTGGTGAGTCATTCTCTTTTACAGTTACCTAATACATAAGGAACCTGAACAAAAGTTTTTATTCAATTTATTTCTTGTCTTTTATTTTAAGTTCTGTATTAGTCTAGAATTGAACCCTTTTCTTTTGAACTAAGTGTCAAGTAAATGGGGTGGATGTTCAACAAACAATTATAGTGTCTCATCTTTAACTAAATTCAGCATTTCTTGTCTGAGTTTTCTAATAGTTTTGAAGCAACCGCTATTCTAAATTCAAGCCAATTATTTCTGACCATTATTAACAAATTTATTTTTGAAGTGAAACTTCTTTCTTTCGTTTCATGCGAGTTGCCATGTAACGAAATCATGCAACGGATGTTCCCCCTCTATTCGGCCACGTAGTCGAGTTCGTAGTGGGGATCGCTTGAGCCGTGAACGCGCTTCGATACAACGTTCGTTACAGGCAACTCCGGCATGTATAGCGTAAAATTTAAATTCATAGTGTACAAATAATACCATTAAACCAATTCCTTAACCCCTATCCCGGTATGTTTGTGTGTTTGAAGAAGTTTCACTTCAGTAGCGTGTTGTATAATTACACGTTGTATTTTTTTTATTCGTTTATGTATTCTCAAATTCTATTCATGTATCAAAATGTCGACTATAATGTTGGAAAATTGAATGAAGAGGCTAGAGGCTGATGTTAAACTATCAATTAATTATCTGAGATGGGGTTTCTAAAGTTAGGTTAGGTTTATTATCTAAATAGGACAAAATCTGAGTTATAGTAATTGAAGAATTGGTTAAAGCCAGGCATGTCCCACGTACATATCGTTAAAGGGTTGCTAAACATTTTCGTTGCATGAAATGAATTGTATATACAGTGGAATTCGTTTATTATGACTCCGCTTATATTGACCAACCGCTTAATATGAAGTAATTGCAGTGTTAAGTTTAGTTTTCATATTAAATTCTCTATAGGAAAGTTTGGATATAATGACTTCGTTTAAAATGACGTATCGTTTATTATGACTGATTCTCAAGAAATTATATCCCGCTGTAGTGACCCAAATGATAATTTTCGCTAATTTTTTGACCCTTCTTATGTATATTCATATTACAATTCATCGTTATTTTCCTTTTTTTTCTGTTAATAAATATATACAATTTTCAGTTTTTCTCTCTATTAAACTAAATAACTAACCAAAATAGAAAGTTGTTTATTTTCCAAGTCTATGCTTTGTATGACGACGTCCGCTTAGTATGACGTGTCTGTCATTTCCCTTTGATGTCATTATAAGCGGATTCTACCGTATTACCTGCTATTGTGCTAAGCACTGGCAGTCACAGCCGAAAACACAACACAATTTTCTAATAAACCGTTCATTTAAATCACCCCCCACTTATGTAGTCAAGGATAATTCATTCAATCGAGTTATGCCGTGCTTAATAAAGTAATGATGTTATAAAGTCCACCGGTTAGTTAGGTTCATAGTTGCCGTTTGTCAGTCAATAGACTGGGAGACATTCGGTTAGCGATCAAACACCAGGCTGTAAAACATTTACATAAGCTGCGTTCTGCACCGAAAGGTGAGCTTTCGCTGTGCCCGCGGCAAATTGAGCACCAAAACTGTTTACTGGCACGCCAACCAGTTCGTGTCGCCGGAAAAGTGCTTGATTACCTACCACAACGTTACAACATACGAGGGTGGATTGATAAGTTTCCGGCCTGACCAAGAAAAACAAGGTTTTTAAAAATTTTTTTTTTTTATTTCTCAACATAATCTCCTCCAAGGCTGATACATTTCTCATAGCGGTGTTCCAGTCTATTAATGCCATCTCTATAGACTGATTCGTCAAGCTCCTCAAAATAACCATTTACAGCTTCGATTACTTCTTCATTGTCCGCAAATCTCTTACCGCCAAGCCATTTTTTGAGATTAGGGAACAGAAAATAGTCACTCGGGGCTAGGTCTGGAGAGTAAGGAGGGTGCGGCATCAATTCAAACTTTAGATCGTTGATTTTAGCCGTCGCAACGATTGACGTGTGCGCTGGTGCGTTATCGTGATGAAACAAGATTTTTTTCTTCGCCAGATGAGGTCGTTTAATTTTCACCTCGTGGCTCAAACGTTGCAATAAGTCTGCGTAGTATTGACCAGTGATAGTATTACCCTTTGCAAGGTAATCAATGTATATAATACCTCTTGCATCCCAAAAAACAGTAGCCATAACCTTGTTCGCCGAAAAAATTGTTTTTGCCTTCTTTGGAGTTGGTTCCCCTGGTCCAATCCACTGTTTAGACTGTTCTTTGGTTTCAGGAGTGTAGTGGTGGACCCACGTTTCGTCAACGGTTACGAATCGACGCAAAAATTCGCTTGGATTACGCTTATACAATGACAAATTTGCGGTAGAAATGTTTTTTCGAATCAATTTTTGGTCGACTGTTAGCAAACGCGGCACCCATCTTGCACAGAGCTTTTCCATATGCAAATGTTGGTGCAAAATATGTTGCACACGTTCATATGACATCTTACAGGTCTCAGCTATCTCACGCACTTTCAATCTGCGGTCTCCCAGCACTATTTGATGAATTTTTTCGATCATATCTGGAGTTGTGACCTCAACGGGGCGTCCTGAGCGAGGCCCATCAGAGGTGCTCACACGACCCTTTTTAAACTCGGAAACCCACTGCTTAACGGTTGAATATGACGGGGAGGATGTCCCCAGTGTTGAGTCCATCTCTTTTTTAATTTCCTTCGGCGTTAACCCCTTCAAATAAAAGTATTTGATGACAGCACGATTTTCCTGCTTTTCCATTTTTACGAAAACCACAGAGGCGTCTTGTTCAGCGTGCTGTCAAACCTACACTAGCAAGGAGATCGGGCTGAAACTATAGCTACAAGCTATCCAAGGATGGTACTATAGAATGTCACCTCAAGGTAGGCCTAGTGGCGTCATCTCTTGGTTAGGCCGGAAACTTATCAATCCACCCTCGTACTTCAGTTTTACTCTTGTCGGTCGATACCACGCCAACTGTAACGGAGACTTCGTGAAATTTCACTTTTTCACAATTTTTTTTTTTATAGTTGGCATTACTACGAAAGGATGAACATAATTGCTTTTGACAATTGTAAATAGGACAACATGTTAAATATACTTAAAAATCTTTGGATGAGTCACACAGATAGAAGCGTGATACTTAGTTCGTATAAAGAGCAACAGGCAGTTATAGAGCAGGAGCAGTAACGTAGAGATGCAGGGATGCACACTGTCACTGCTACTTTTTAATCTATACATCGAAGACGCGATCAACATCATTAAAGACAGTACAACTGTAGGGATAGATATACAGGGGCAGAAGCTCAGTATGCTTAGATTTGCAGATGATATAGCATTATTAGCATCTAGCAAGGAGGACCTAGAGATAGTTTTAAATAAAATGGAGGCGGTATTGACAAAACAGTACTGTATGAAAATAAACAAAAGTAAAACGAAAATACTGGTTTGCAAGGGAGGAAAAAGTAGGGAAAGAGCGAATACAAAGATAGGAGACGAAAAATTAGAAGAAGTGACTGATTTTAGGTATCTAGGAAGTCAGATAAGTCAGGACGGAAGGAGTAGTAGGGAATAGCGCATGGCCGAGTCGCATTCAATGAAAAAAAATCACTTCTGTGCTCGCGAACGGTTAATTTAGAAATTCGAAAAAGTTTGTTAAAGATGTATGTATGGAGCGCGACTCTGTAAGGGTGCGAAACATGGACGGTGGGCGCTGCGAAATAGAAAAGGTTAGAAGCGTTTGCAATGTGGTTTTACAGGCGAATGATAAGAATACCGTGGATAGAGAAGGTTAAAAATGAAATGAAAAGGTATTAGAAAGAATAGGATTACAGAGGACTCTATGGAAGTCAATACAAAATAGGCGAGACAGATTGGTAGGACACCTTCTCAGGCATGAAGGTCTAGTCAAAGACATATTAGAGGCAGAAACAGGAGCTAGGAGGAGTAGAGGTAGACCTAGATTAGATTACTGTTCACAAATAGTTAAGGATGTGTGATGTACTAGTTTTAAAGAAATGCGAAGATTAGCTCAGGACAGGAAGGAGTGGAGATGCGTGACCAACCAGTCTTAGGACTGACGACCTTCTAATGACGATGATGATGATGATCGGACTCATCACTTATTATTAATCAAATGTATATTTAAATAAGTTGTATCTTCGGTAACCTCCAAAATTGGAGACTCACTATGATTATGAAAATCATAAAAAGTTATTATTTTTTTTGTAGCTGTGGGAACAATAAAACTAAACATCAATGACATATTCACACTTAAATTACACAGTATAATTAAAATAATTGCATTAATTAAAAATTATGAACAAAGACAAAGTTCAAGATAGTCACTATTCTGTCAAAACTGCCAGACGCGAATCGCGATTTCTGTCTTGTTGGATCTCATCAGCCCGTCACAGACGGCTTCGGGACATCGTTCTATAAAATCCTACAAACGGTGCGATAAATGTCATCTGTACTGCTATGCTACATTAAAAATTATGATATTAAAAAGAGACTTCAATGCTACAGCAAGCGAGTAACTCGATTTTTACTTGGAAAATACAACAGTATGATAAAAAATTAGTGGCAAAACAAATCTTTGCAGAGTTCTAAACAAAAGATATATCCCTTATAAAATCATCCCCATGAACGTGGTCTGTCTTCTTGTCAGTCAGGCATGACCGTTTATCTTAGAATCTATTAAACGTAGAACATTACAACTTGTTATATTTCAAAGGGCAAGTTAGGTACCATGAAAAATATTTTTTGTCATACGTCATCTGGGATATATATTTAAATGACTCCCCTAGACAAAAATTTTCAGTCTCTCTCCAGTCTCTCAGAGTCTTTCAGCGTTTCTGAGAGCGTCTCTCATAGTCTTTCACAGTCTCTCAGTTATTGCCTAGGTGTTTTTATGGATCTCTCACAGTCTCTGTATGAGAGACTCGAACTATAAAATTGTTTATTCAGAGATTCTAATCTCTCACAGAGAGACTGAATGAATAAAACTGAAAAATTAAGAGACTCGAGTCTCCCGTAGAAACGATGGTATCTCTAAAATATATTGAACTTAGAGAATTATAACCATGTCTATTGAGACACCACTTATTGAGAGATTCGAGTCTCTCGTTCAGAGACTGGATACGAAATGAGGATCTCTCAATGAGCGACTCAAGTCTCTCGTTCAGAGACGCTAAACATTTTTTTTAACAGTCTCTCTCAGCGACACCAGAAAGACTCGATGAGAGACGGAGACCCGAGTCTCGCTTTCAGAGACTCTGAAAGACTGAACATTTTTATCTCGGGTCACTCAAATTTAAAAAAGGGAGGAGCGAGTATTTTTAGTTTTGTTAAAAACTTTTGCCCTTGCGCCATACAAAACTGCAGAGAGAAATTACAAATCAAAACAAAAAAATGTAAATAGATATGCAATACATATACAGTACAGCGTAGGCGCGATCTGCTGACAATATGTCGAAATGGCAATTTTCGGATTATCGGTTGCTACTAACAATTGTTAAATTGTCTCGTTTTGGACACATCAACCAGGGGTCACACGAAGCGCGGGACGTGACGCGTAACGCGTAGCGTTGCACTTTTCGGTTTTATACCCTAGTAAATTTCCTTCATACCATCAATAAAGAAGTTTCACTTCAAAAACTTTATTAAAGGCATCCCAACCAAATGATTTAATAGTTTAAAGCTTAAAAGTACATCCTTTGGTGTACATCGTCTTTTTAGGCACACGTGTTGAACAATTTATTTTAATGGATTAAGTGTTTCATTTCCCTCTCCCTCTCTATACCTTTATTTTCGAAGCCGTTCTTCAATGGCTTTCCCCATTTCTTTCCAACAGGCTTGGGCCACGGGCTGCTGACTTGATTCACTTGGGAGCCAAATTTTCCCCATGTATGCGGATTGACGAAAAAATACAACAACAGATCGAGAAAACCAGGGCAAAAGAAAGAGAAACTGCTTGCTGTATTCGAAACGATGACTCAGGGTGCGTTCAATCATCCAGGGCAGATTGCTCAGTGAGTAATTTTTTTCATTATCCCTTGGCTTTATTCTTATTTATCGAGATGTTAATTATCTCAGCAAACAATCAATTTCATCACCTATTACCTAAACGTAATAAATAAGATAACATACTAGACATTACGTAATACAAAATTCATCAATTTTTCACTCCTTTACCCCCACATAACAGGACCGTAACACCTGGCTTCAGTTTTTGTTTAATCAAAGGAATATTGGAGTTAAAAGTACTGACTTTATTTAAAGAACCACATAAATAAAGTATAAATATTGCTTTGGTTAAACAAAAAAATTATTTGTTATTGTAGAAACATAATAAGTCAAACGCGTTGTCTCTCCCGCTCTTTCTCTCTTTCAATAAATGATACAATTTTAGTTTCAACAGTGAAAAGACATCTATTTTCAACATAAAAGAATCCTGATCACGTCTTTTTCAATAAAGACGTCTGTACTACGTCGTTTTCTCTAGATTAGAAGATATATTACTGTTTCTCCCTTATACACATGTAAGCTCCCCCATTTTCCTTTTTACAAATTGTCCTTTCACTTTTTCGTTCTTTGAGAATGAACAATGGTGATAAAACAGTCTCTTCTACTACTTACATACGAATATTTGTTTTTGTAACGAAGTCTTTTCATAATTGGATTCTATACAACTCCCAGTTGTTTTGCCTTAAGTGCCATTTTGCAGTTAAGAATTCTTCGATTGAATTCATTTAATAAAAGGTTATCAAATGAAATAATTCTAACGTATTGGAACCATGGACGTTTTTTAACTTTATATATGATAAAAATACACCAACAATAATTTTTTAAGATGTCATCAGTACTGATAAATAATTATATTTTTCAATCCAACTGGTTCGAGGACTAATGCCTACGGTATGTCTGCATGTCTTGTACCTATGTATTTTTTTTTCTTTATTTAGTCTTATTGTTAAGATTTCGTGTTGTTCCTGAATGCTACCAATTAAATAAACAACATTATTTTTACTTTTTCTTATCATCTTTTTGTACGGTATTTTTTATTGTGCTTCTCCTCAACCCTCAATTTTTATCTAGAATACAATATCAACGTGGAAAAAATGGAGGCCGGGAGACGCAGGACCAGGCGGTAGAATATCGGGATCAGTCTGCGGCTTAGATCCAAAGTAAGCCAAAACAAAAGCTTCAGTCCCTTATCGCGTTATCATTATAAACTAAATTTCTTTAAAGATACTGCGATGCACCCGCTAGTGTTCATCCATACGAGTGGCCCGACGACATCACAAAATGGCCGATATGTCGCAAGATGAATACTCAGCTGTCAGTGCAAAAGCACAGCAGGGACAAATCGGCCGAGCATATGGTCTGCGAGGTCATAGGTCATCCGTGTTGTATAGGCATACATGGAATGTGCAAAATTACGACCAAGGAATACTGCGACTTTGTAAGGGGAAATTTTCATGAAGAGGCTTCGTTGTGTTCACAAGTAAGTATCTATTATCATTATATTTTAGTTCGTATCTTATGAAAGAGTTTTATCACTCCTCCTTCTTCTTGAGTAAGCAAGAATACGGAAGATAACTCTCCCAACCCTTACAAATCGATTTTTATAATACTGGAACTCCTTCTTGCTCCAATGGTTCCATTCCGAAAGTATTAACTATTTTTAGTCTAATAAGTAGTAAAAAACTTTTTTGTTAAAATATACTTAAGTTTGAGAATTTTGATGACACAATAAGTTTTTAGATACCCCAAACCTTAAGTATGTATAATAATGAGTAAAATTCGAAAGGTCAAGCCTTCAATACAAAAATATCAAATTAAAGATAAAGTAACAGACTTCACTAAACTATTGGGATCCGTCAAATGGGAGGAGCATAAAAACATGGCGCCGATTAGGGAAAATTTATCGTAGTTCCTATAAGTGTACCGTGCAATTTCCAAGTTTTTAAATTACGATAAAATGATAAGTATTGACACAATATGTGATTGGGCTGACACAAAGCCTCGGAAAGGAAATTTCGTTGAAGGTGAGCGTGTTTTTAATGCCAATCACATTATAAAATTCGGAAATAACAAATCCGGAAGCTAGCCTTCAAATTCCGTCAAGTTTACTGCCTACTTTTTACAAACTTCGGATTTAAAAAGTGATTCACGTTATATAATTGGTGAGGTGATTCTGGGTGATTTAAGCAATATCATATCAATGACTTGCACGTGCAAAGCCGATTTAAGAGAACGTTGCAAACACATTATTGCAACTTTGTTGTATTGCAGCAGGTAGGTTCTTAACCTCAAAATACTTATATCGTATCATTAGAATTGTGTTAAATCAATTACACAGGAATAAATAATTTCTCACTTTATAATTTTAGTATGATTCTAGTTTTAAATATTAAGGTTATGGCTGATGGTAAATACTTGCTGAAATATAATCATGTGCATTAAAATGACGTGAACAAATTTTTATTCCGGAATTCACTTCTTTGATACCTACTGCTTTCATCCAAGCTTCTATTAGTTTACTTTTTTCTCTAATTTTCCGAATATATTTTTTACATATATAAAACGGTTAGTTTTTATTGGAAAGTAGTTAATGTAGGTGAAAAATGAAGATCTATGTCTGAAGTGCTATTGCAGCTTTTCACTGAACATATTAACTTTTTATTTGATATAACTTTAGAAGGAAACTTCGTCGACTCCATCATCAAAACATTTTTTACTTTTTTAACGTGTTTTATTATTTTAATAAACAATTTTACAATTTGCGTGCACAGTTCCTATGTAAATTTTTCCCTCATTCGAGTTATAAATTTTGCCACTAGATGGTGTATGCCCATTTGACGAATCCCAATATTAAGCCATAAAAATCTTCAGGAACTCCCCTCCCCTTTTTAACTGGTTACTATTTCTATTGGTTTTCTGAACATTGTAGTTCAAATCTTGTTACTTCAGGTGTCTTGTTTGGATGACGTATGCGGAATGATCCCGTTCTACTTCATGGAAATACCGGACCAATTCTACCGCCTTTGGACATCAATTTTCTTGCATGCCGGTGTACTGCAGCTGTTCATTACGATAGCCATCCAGTATTTTTTTATGCGAGACGTGGAAAAACTGACAGGAAGTTTACGTGTAGGAATTATTTACATTGGCTCCGGAGTCGCCGGAAACTTGGCAAGCGCCATTTTCGTACCTTATCGAGCTGACGTGAGTACCACTTTTTATTTTCTCTCTACATTTTTTGTTCGTCTCGTTAAACAGGGCTTGTTCGAGCAATTTTGCTGTTACAGCAGTATCCACAATTGGTTATCGATATTTGTAAACAAACAAGCGATTCGATAAATAACATAAACGCCCTTATTTAGGTAGGAAATGTTAAAAACCACCCTGCGCAAAAACGTGTCCATAACAATATAAAAATTGGAAAGAAAGTGCAAAAAAAGAATAAAATCACATTAAGGTCAGCGCATTGGTGCGTAAAGCCAAAGGTCCCGGGTTCGATTCGCGGCGGGGGGTGACAACAGCAACAAAAATATTTTCCTCATTAATTTGAGGAAATTTTAGTGGTTCAATATCGAAAAGTGATTTCAAGTTGATGTTGCAAATTAAAATCACATTACACAAATCGCTTATATGATTATGACGTCATAATTGAGTATTATTTTTGCAATAAGTTGAATAATTTAAATAAACTAAAACATTAAAGTATAGTTTGTTTTTAAGAGACAAATGTATATTCTACAAAGTCTTTGTGCACAACTAATGAATAGCAAAAGTAAATGCTATTAAGGAGGTTGGTTAGGTTAGATTATTGAGGAGATTGGTCAGTGTCTTACAGACTGTAGGTCTGCCGAAAAATATTTTAGATTTCTACACATTTTATATAGAATTTCGGCTATTTTACTGTTTTATTTATTTTGTACATGTCAAATTTATTATCGTTACTGCCAGAAGTTGGCAGAGCAACATTGGAGTTGGAAGTGAAATAATAAACACTGCCAACTAATACAAGTGTTTTGTTGTTGCCATATTATCGAATTATGATCCCACAGAGATATTTGCTATTAATTTGTCTTTAAAAGATTGTAAAAGTTTAAAATCCATCAACTGGCTTACTTCAGAAGTGTCTATCAATGATAAAATGAAGTTAGCATGTGCAATAATGAGGCAGGTTTAACAATTGTAGGTAAAACTCCAACAATGAATCACTCATTGTAACAATGAGGTTTGGAAAAGAGTAACAATGGAGTTTGACAGGTGTAATAATGAAGGCTGTCATCTTGATTGTTATCATATTCTGAATAATTTAAGTCCTGACTGTTATTTGAAATTTATTCTAGTGTTTATCGACACAATCGGAGTAAAATGAGTACAAATATACGAATATCTATATATTTTGACATTAATTTTTACATGTGTATACGCCCAACGGACCAATCTCCTTGAACTGCTCTATTTCTCGTAGTTCATTTGCACCAAATCCTTCTGTCGATATTGACCTGTAGCTGACGTCATAACGCAACGAATCTTCTCCAGTTAGATTACTTAACTCGCTTAAACTTAAACGCCCCTTAATTTTATTTTTTGAGAAAAGAGAAAAATATTGTTTATATGCATATTACATCATTCAATTGTTGATGATGAGGAAATAAAGAGAATTTGCTTTTTAAAATTTCCTGTAAATAAAATTCCTTTCTTCATGTTCAAAAAAAGGGCGTATAATAATTTAATTGTCTCCGTGTTTTAAACATTTTCACCAAAATCATTTATTTCATAAACTTATATTATAATTTTATTTATAAGTGTGTATTGTATATAGTTCGTATACTTATTTGAAGATGGTTCATATATGTTTCCTTTTTAATGTAATGACATTTCGGTCAAGTGATGGGAAAAATGCTAAAAAATGATATACAAGCTTCGAGCATATTCCTTGTACTTGACGCCATTATTTGGAACACCCTATATAATTTTTCATTTCTTTGCGTGTGATGAATAAAAACCTGGACTTATTATTTGCCCATGGTACTCGCCATTAGGTTGCCATGCTTTTGCTCTCACACAGAAACATTATGGTTGACATGGTTAACCGAACTTTTTTGTACTTTTAGGTGGGTCCATCTGGTTCCCACTTCGGTCTGTTGGCCTGTCTCATAGTCGAGGTGTTGAATGCATGGCCGATGTTGAAACATCCGTATCGAGCTCTCTGCAAACTTCTTCTCGTCACTTTCGTTCTTTTCCTCATAGGTCTGGTGCCCTGGGTCGACAATTACGCCCATTTATTCGGTTTCGTGTTCGGTTTCCTTTTGTCTTACGCATTGTTACCATTCATTTCGTTCGGTCCGTACGATCGCCAAAAGAAGATTGTCTTGATCTGGGTTTGTCTCCTGTCTGCTGGCATCCTGTTCGCCTGTCTCGTCCTCCTATTCTACATCATCCCAGTCTACGATTGTGAGATTTGCTCGTACTTCAATTGCCTGCCGATAACCAATGAGTTTTGTGCTTCACAAAATATCGACTTCAAACGAGACGAACCCGTGGTATGACATAGGGTCTTACGGTTGTATGCCCCACTACCAACTCAATTCAATTTATATTCATTCAGATCCCTACTGTTGATCCACCTCTTTGATTATTTTTTGGTTTCACATTCCTCCTGTCCTCCAGTCTCCCTTTGTTTCGTCCATAGGTACCATACAGCGATATGGTAATTAATAAATAATGATAATGATATATAATTATTAATATTGATGATATCTTGTTCAGTGTTGTATATGGGTGATGTTCAGCGCTACTTTCAGCAGTATTTGTACATAATGAATACATTAGTATTTTGTATCAATATCGAGGGTATTTTCTTTTTTCGATTATTTCCCTTTTTCATTTGGTAAATATCGATCGTCACTGTCCCTTTAAAAAAAAAAAAAACACAGAGAAAGCATCCCCTTGGCTCCTGCTCCCGTGGCTTCCTTAAAAATATACATATTATACATAATTATTATGTACTTACATACTTACAGAATGTAAGGTAATTAAAAAAATGACGAAATTTGTAATTGTACTTTGAAGTTATTCAATGTAAGTATTGGTCGTACTTTGTGTAAAATAATAAATATCTTTTTTAAAAGTATCTCGAGTGCGCATGTGGAAAGTGACTTTTAGATCCTCAAACACACTTAAAAAATACACATACATACTTACACACGTTACACATGAAGACAAAAGCACGCTAAGACCTGAACTCTATGTGATAATTTGGGATATATAAAAAAAGACTTAACTATTAAATTGGACGTTGTGGTTTGTGAGTTAATCAAGAAAAAGCCCTTGTGATAAAGTATTATCTACGTTACAGTTATCAGTTTATCTTAATGTTAAATCCGTGTCCAGAGATCTTCTCCTTCGACATTCCTTTTTTGGCAATCATCATACCCACCACTGTTGCTCGCATTAAAATTCGTTCTTTTTCAAAATCCACATCCCTTTAAATCATTAAACATTAAATAATTTTGACGCTGTAGTAGTGCCATCTATTGAAATTCAATGGTGTTTCGTCGACATACTTCGGCACGCAATTCGTTAGATGGCTCCCGTATTATTACGTGAATCCTTCCTGTTGTTTAGTTTCATTTTTTTTACTATTAAATATAATTTACATTTTCTACATAAAAGGGCATAAATTATTATAAAAAGAACGAATTTTAAATTTTACTTATCAGTTTTAAAGTTGTAGCTGATTTGAAATATGTACTTCTTTTCAAAAAAAATGTTAAGACTAACCATTAATTAATATCATTAATTAATTGATACAAAAAGAAGTGTAGTATATATATACATATTACATTTCTATATCTACATTTAAAACTGACAATTACTGGCAACAGTGACGATTTCTGAAAAATAAAATAAAGATTTGCTTGGTGTCTAAAATAACCGAATACCTTACTTTTATTGTTTATTGTAATATCCGAAATGAATAAATCTATTATTGTAATTATTACAAAACACTACTTATTATAGACCTATAAAAGTCGCCCTGTATAAGTGTGGAAGAATTGTATATATTATATCTACAGTAGGTATCTTGTGAACTGACCACAATGCAAAAAATACTTGTAAAATAAATTATTATAGTAGGCATTTTTAAAATATAAATATTTCGAAAACCTATTTCAAGATTTTGATGGCATTTTATTTTAATTTTTTTCACACTTTTGACTGCACCTTTGTTTCTTTTTTCTGTTATTCTTACTCACGAAGGAAGATGACATACATATTGAATCTCCCTCTTATTTTATCTTGTACTACGTTATTATATACAGTATGTCACAAAATATGCAAAAGGACGAACGTATCTTGTTAAACCTTTTGCGACACACTGTATAGGTCAGAATTAGTGTAATAATTGCTACCAAATACTCTGATTTATAATACATTTTTATCAAGGTCTTCCTTCATTTGTGTAAAACTTTTAAATTTTTGATTAAGATTTTGTGAAGGAATTCTCAAAACGACTGAAGATATACATACATAAAAAAAAATGACAATGACTTATTAATTTAAAATTATTTTATTTTCTGGTCTTTCATCAGATACATACAAATTAAAGATATGGTATGTCACGTGGTAAAAATAGCACAGTATTATATTAATTTTTCTTTATTGGTTGACACTATACTTTTCATAGCAAATTTAAATATTTTTGTATACCTGGAGATATATGCATGTTCTGTTTAAACGTTAAATATTGTACAGTTCATTATATCAGTACATCAAGTGTTAACATTAAGACCAAGCCTTAATATTATACCATCATAAATAAAATCATTCTATACTGTACAATATTGTATTGAATTTACACTTTTGGTCCTTTTATATAGCTATTCTCTTAATTTATTGTGTTTGGTATTCAAAAATTTTCCGATATATGTATAAACAAAAAAAGCATAAAAATTACAATTGTACTTAAGTAAATTTTTGTTGCCAAAAATGTATCGCTGTTTAAACCTTTTAATTTTATTTTAAATATTTTTCAGCATCATCCCTAATTTTGTTTCCATATGTTCGTAAATTTAAATTTCGTATCCAAAAGTTAGTGTTATAATTTTGCTCGCTAGATGACCACACAAATGTTTGTCGTAAGTTTCATATCCAAAAGCTATGCGGTTAGCATTTTACCCGGTAGAGGACTACACAATAGCCTAAATCATACAAAAGTTCGTCATATATGCATTCTTGCACATCATCAATTTCGTTCCCTTATTATTGTTAGTTAAATAATCGAATTGTTTAATATAAATTTTAGTTTTAAATGTATATAAAATAATGGCAAAATTGATAAAGTGGTAGCTCTGATGAACGTCTAACTTATACTTTATCTATAGTGCACATTTATTTTCTTTCTATGATTTTTTCTATGGTGGTTGCTGTCATTTTAATAATTAGAATGTTTTACGCAATCGCGTATATACGTGCTTATAACGGACTTATTTCATTCGTGCTATCTTTTTCGTTTGCACCTTAATATTTAAAAACAAACCTCAACCAGTTCGAGACGCGTGTCCGTGTGTGTATGTTTGTACGTTATATGCTTAGATTTTCCAGATGATTCTGCGAGTTTGAGTTCCGTGATTTCTAGAATTGCAATAGAATTATCTAACGACACTAATGTTCTAACCCGTATTTAAAAACCTGTCGAAGTGAACTTAACCTAATAACGAAATTATTCAAGTGCAGTTATATACTAACTTTTGTCAAGGATTAATGAAGACTGAATAATGCCATTGCCAAAGGCTTCCTTTGTAAGTATAATTTTCATTAGCAACTAGCGTGTTTTTTTTTTGTAATTTTCCAAGCATGCTTCTATAATTTATCCTACTAACCCGCTTCGTTTTCATATATATACATACATATATGTACATGGGTATTTCGTGCCATTTGCACTCATATCATTAATATGCATAACTTCACTTTTTAATAAGCTCTCTCTAGATATTAACAATCCAAAAGTATTATGCCTAATGTTTTCAAAAAGGGCGTGATTCATACCAATTGACCATAAATTTTACAATGTGGACTTAATACACCTTAATATGCCAATTATATACTGCCTATTTAAAGTCAACATGATACTCATATCCATTCTTTTTATCAAAATATATTTTGCTTACCTATAGGTAACCTTTAAATTTAATTATCCTATTATAAGGAAAATAAACGAGTTTTAAAAAATTCTCCCAGGAAACGCAAAATCATGAATTGGGCTGTTGCCAATTATATGCTTGAAAATTTGCGTACTTAAAGCGTGCATATTTTTATGACCATTTATATGCAAACGAAATTAAACTGATTCTAACAGGAAATACGCTTATACATTTTATTTTTTCCGTATTTCGTATAAGCCGGTGATTTTAACATTAAAATTTTCGCTGTAAAATATTTACAATTATTAAATGTATTCTATATTCATATACTTATCAATATTTGTACACAAGTAGCCGCAATCAGTTTGTTAAGTATTGTTTATTGCTACTTTTTTTTACAAAGAAATATTTCTTCCACTTAATTAAAGTTAAAAATGCCAGTAACATTTTACAAAAGCGTTTTCACATTTTTTAACTGAAAAACAGACTTAAACCTGTTTAAAAAAATAAGGTAATTGTAGAAATATCTAAAAATATCATTTATGGAAGGCTACATATTTAATATACTTAGTTATAAATGGGTACCCATTTTAAATCAATTTTGGAGCTGCACTTGCAGTGCATTTTTGGCTTTTACAGTACAAATTTGTATGGTACCCACTGTACATAAGTGTCATTCTTATAAAGTTTCATCTTCTGTCAAATTTATTTTAACAATCAAGCGTCAAACATATAAAATGCACATCTATGACATCATTCCTCGTGGCCGGTTTTGAGTTTATATCATATGATAATGTCGATGATAACAGAATGTTAAAATCGAAGTAGTTACCGAATGCGAGACGTTTTTTTAATCTTTCTAATAAATGTCACATTCCTAATAGGTAGCAGTGCATGAAGCGTTATTGTTCATATTTCTTCGCGGCAGTATTAGTATTACAAATTAATTATTGTATGTGAATGTTACTTAGAAAAACTAAAGTGATGTGAGGAACTTTAACGTAATAGGTACCTGGAGACCTTCAAAAATGGCGATCAGTTCCGGTATTTAAAATGGTTAATAGCCCTTTACTTCGTACAAATACAAGCATAAAGGTAAAAACTATACGATTTAATCATAAAATGTACTTGCAGTTAGATTTAAATTACATATTAATGTACATATAAATATAATGTATAAAAACAGAAACGACGGTACTGTTTCTGTAGTAACGCTTATGTAAAACGAAGGAAAAAAGTTATAGGTAGGCATATTAGAATGGGTAGTATATTTAGAAAGTGTTGGTACAGGGTGCAAATGGTAACATCTTGGTAATGTTAGATACGATACAATTTTAAAATGTGAAACTTACCCTGCTCCATTTTGTTAATTTTTACATGGACTATACGTATAATACTTAATAATGTTAACTTGTTGAGATCTAAAGTATTACTCATCGATCTATTTCATTCTTACCTACTAATTTGTCCATATTTTACCTGTTTACTAGTGGTAGTGGTTTCATAGGTACAATTTACATAATTTTCTAGCGTGGGTACCATACAAAGAAACAAGTAGGTGTTGGTATAATATCGTATATTAATTAATTAAAGGTTTCGATCAAAAACGTTCTATTTATTCTTTAAAATAGTGCAATCTAGTTTAAATAACATTACAGTATGTATCCGGTAGTTCAAATGTACTATTTTAAAGAAAACGGCATCACGAAGCAGTATCGTCACTGTCGGTGGCTTTACATGAAATCACATTAACATCATCATATTTGATCTTAAAATATTAACATTCGGACAAAGCAGAAGGTTTTACAACACCTTCAGACTAATTCCTCTTTCTTATTAGTTAAATAAGTAATACTTCTATATTTGTAGAAGTTTTAATGTTCATGTAGAACACAAATCTATGTAGAACTACTCTTAAAAAACTTCTCGTAAATCGAAACAATTGTCGAATTGGCAAAATAAATTGAAGCTAGCTTATTCATTCTTTGGCATTACAGCTGATACTTGTGCATATTTCATGTAATTGGCTACATCTCTTATTGTTTATTAACTGTGACGTTATTGCAAAATTATCTTAAAAATACTGTATCTCCAATTCAGCCCCTGTCCTTCTACCCAGGTAATTGCTAAGCGCGTTTCATACACCTCTAGGTCACCACCTTCATTTATTCAGTAACAACGGCAACAGTCTTTTCTTGCTTGACATTTTCTGTTCGAGTGACAACGAATAATACGATTTCGGGTAGTGTGATAGAATGCTTTTTTTCACAGGGTCTTGCCTAACCTCTTAACGTCTTGCATCCGCAACTCAGCACACACCCAACTGATTGAAACGGTTATGTGAGTATTTGAACATTAAAAAAAAAATGCTTTTAACGCAATCATGGCACTTATTAAATATAGTACACGCTTTTCGTAAACTCATTACTATATATCGAAACAACTTTACTAAATACCTACATATTAATACTTTTATAACATTATTTGCGATGTGTTTACCCCCCATACGAATGTTGCTTTTTACTATTCTATATGCTTCGCTTTAGCTTTTTTCTGATGTCATCGTACAAGCATACGTATCTATCCGTTTGTTGAATGTTGAGAGCAAATACACCCCTTTCCCTGTCTGTATGTACCCTTGTCACTGAGTTCCTTCTTTTTGTATAAACGAAGGAAGGAAGACTGTTCCTCAAAAATCGCTTAAAAGCAGCATTAATTATCATACTCATACATATAAGCACTTGTGCAGAGCGATTCATAAAGTATTATAGGGTTGTTCGGAAAGTCATTTTGCCATCTTTCTGGTTGTAGCATAATTCCACGCTCATAAAATTTTTGGTCTTTGCTGGCAAAAAACTGATCGAGGAGGTTTTTGACCTCACGTGTTGTTATTCGCCGATTCACATCAACTAATGCCTTTATCGCGTCTTTATCAGCTCTAACCGGCCTTCCCGAACGTGGTGCATCTTCGACATCAAAATTGCCGGATCGAAATTTAGCGAACCAGTTCTGGCAATGGCGTACTGTCAACACACCTTCTCCATACACATCAGTCAATTTCTTTCTGGCTTAAACAGCATTTTTACCCTTTCTGTAGTAAAACAGTAAGATATGTCGAAAATGCTGCTTATCGCTCTCCATATTTAAAAGGGCACCAACCAAAAACTACTGCGTAGAATTAATTGAAATTTTTCACACACAAGCCTTGCTATATGAGCTTTCAAAGCATATAAAAATTATACGGCTTAAATGTGAAGTTGGGTGCAAAAGAATACAATTAAATCCTCTGTCGGGAAAAAACGAAATGACTTTCCGAACAACCCGGTAGATTGGAGGCATTAATATAACACTAGTCAGTCGTCATGTCTTAACGTCATTCATTGTGGTGGTATCCGTTTCATTGTTCTCCCAAGCGGAAAGTTAGCACATCGAAGTTTTATTTCTACAGTACAATGTAATTTAGCGCTAATTTATTATTAAACCCAAAAATTTGTAACTCGAGCCTGTTACTGGAAAATAGACAAAATGCTAGCCTGTCGTCAAATTAGCTCTATATAGGGTTGCCATACGTCCGGGTTTCCCCGGATTTGTCCTAGTTTAGAGGGCATCCGGGGAGCGTCCGGGTGAGCCTTCATTTGTAGTCCGGGTTTAAAAATTTAAAGTCTTGGGCCTCCCGCGACATACCCACTGTGCTCGCACACACCACGATCAACCGACGAACCGAGTCGCTATATTCACCGTCCCCCCACCCCGTATAACTTATTTTTTTTAGGTTTCATATTTTTATAAGGTTTTGTTTTCATAACAAAGTATATTAATAATTTGAGTTTTATTTTAAGGATAAAAAATCTAACTGATTATTAAAACAATTTATAACAAACTGTAATAAGATTCTGTTTTGTTAGGTACATTTAAAATGATGATAAAAAATGACTAAATTTAATTTTAAGGTCTGAAAATAAATAAAAAGTTGATTTATGACATTTTCAACGCTTTTTATTGCACTGACTATGTTTACAAAAACCTGTTGACATGTCCGGGTTCTGGACTCTGAAATCCGGGGTTTTCACGCGTCTTGTCCTGGTTTCCAAATTTTAGAGATGGCAACCCTAAATATATCTCTAATTAGCCCTTCATACTTCAGAAGGTATCCTATCACTAATGACTACTTATGTCTATTCTATCATCTGTTATGTTCTTTAAATCGTGTTTCTATCGTCTTGCCTGTTTGTCCTACATAAGATCCGTTACATTCTTTATAATCGCCACTTGTTTTTGAACCGCAATTATTTTTGTGTCCGTTTGTGGTTAATTGTTAAATTTTAACGTCATTTTTTTTTTTGAAACATTGACAGAGAATGCTATATATCGGTATATATTAATAAGTCTAGGTGAACGACCTTTTGAATTCCCTTTCCATTGAAAAATTTACAAGACACAAGACACACGCTCGTCTGTAATTAAGAGGACAAATTATTGTTTGTCTCATAAATTTCACGTGCTCGCGTTTGAAACGGGATTGTTAAATACTGAACGGAGTTTGAATTTTTACTCGTCACCGGGACGAATTTACAGGCTAATATTTAATAAACAAAGCTCAAATCGGTATCCAAGGGCTTTGTAATTTCGAAACGGATGGCGGTTGCATTTGTCCGAGC